AGAAGAAGAAGGAGAAGAAGTTGTTCCTTAGAATACTTAGCACTCAGCTCGGCTCTGAAGATTTCCAAATGGTGAACCTGGACTGGGTCCTCCAGGCCTCTGCTGCCTCTCACCCTCTGGAGGCACTCAGGTCCTTAGGCGGCCATCCGGAGCAGAGGTGCTTCGTTCCTGAAGCACTTCTCCTTGCTACGCCTTTTCTCCCTCGGCCTTGGGAATGGTTAACTACCAGAAAAATTATTTGCCAATAGTAGGAAGGGACCTGGAGGAACTTGACTCGCACGGAACATTTTGGAAAATTAGAAGTTAAACGAGGTAAGTAAGTGTCTCACGCAAGGCTTTCAGAGTAGCTAACTCAGAAACATCATGTGGCCCAGGGTTTTCTCCAGGAATCTTAGAGCCTGAGCAGGCCCTGAGGGCAGGCAACCAGGGAGCACACGAGCCCAGGGGCTCTCGGAACTCACTGCCCTGTTCCCTGTGACTCACGACTCTTTCCCCTGTCCCGGAATGTGAGCCAGAGCATTCTGAAAGACAGTCCAGAAGTTCAGAGCAGTCTCATTTTAGTTTCCAGGAGGTTTCCTCGAATGACATTATGGCTCCTGGAGAACCGCCCCCCCAGCAAATACATGCCACCCATGACCTCCATGGAGTTCTGCACACTGTCATTCAAGATGGAAATAGCCTCAGTGATGGGCTGAGGCAGGCAGCACCTGAAATTAACGGGGCCAAGGAAGGACGGTCTTCCAAATTTGATGGTGAAGAGGATCTAAAATAAACCTGGAAGGTTCTATTTCATTCACCATGGTAGGCTGGCCACAGGGTGACGTCTAAACAGGATCATTTAATGTAATAGGTAGAAATCGTCTTCCCTTAAAGATTGTAATCAAGTTGCTTTACACTTTCAAATCTATCTTTTGGTGCAATTTCCTAACCATGGGGGAAGGAAAATCGCTGGACACTCAAGGCTCTGTCTGTAAGGGTGCTGGTTTTCTCTCAGGATAGTTCATCATTTCTTGTTTAGCTTGCCCTGCTGGACGTCTACCCGTGGACAAGCCCCGAAGCCTACAGGGAAGTGGACAGCACAGGGTTGGCTGTGCCAAGTTAGGGAAACAGCAAGGATAAGCTGTTCTCTTATTTTTAACTGTTGCTTTAAATTTTAAACAAAACCTCAGGTCCTTAAATTACCAATGGAGTCTATTGCCAAAGTTCATTTTAAAGTCAGGTACATGGAGCTGGGACCTCCTGGCTCCAGATCTCACACTGCGATGGAAAAAGGAGGCAGAGACATTGGGTTTCAACCAATGTTTGGGTGGGGCCCAGTTCTGTGCTAGCGACTAGGGAACAGCTTCAGCCCCTGCTATGCCTCAGTGGGGGGCAGCCTCTCTCAGCTTGGGGTTCCAAGGGCCACTGCGGCAGCTGGGCACCCCTGGGGTTTGTATCCCTCCGGGGCTGGGGTGCACAGCCGTGTAAACAGCTGTAGGTTCCCCAACAGTGAAACTGTAAGAAGTCAGAGAAGAAGCGGGACAGAGGATCCCTAGGATGCCAAAAGGGGTGCAGGCCACAGCAGAGGGGGAGTGGGAGAGGAGCTGTCTGGGGTGGGAGAGGGCTGGAGGTGAGAAATGCCGGCATTTGGGGCCATTCAGACCATGCCTGGAGGTTTCGAAAGCGTGCCTAATGCCTGGTGCCCGGCACCTTGGAGGAGGGATCAAGAACATTTTGCATAAACAAGCGAGAAAAAGAATGCTACAGGGTGAACACCTTGCTGTGGGCACCAAGCTCTGATCAGTGCCCACGGTGACCCGTGTGAAAGTCTTTCTAGTCAACCAGTGAGGACCTGCTGCTCACTGCTAACTTCTGAGCTTCGGAGACACACTTGGGGATCATTCTAGTGCTGATTTTGATGACTATCCTCCAAATACAGACGAGAGAGGCCAGGTCCCTGCGCCTGGCAGATGGCCTGGGGTGAGCAGCAGGCTCGGGACAGGCCGGGCCGAGGGCAGCGGCCGTGGCCGTGGTGGGGAAGCACGGCCACCATCCTCATAGCATGACCGTCTGGAGCACACCTGGGATGCCACGTTCTGAAGGGGCCCAGAAGCGGGCGGGGGGCAGGTGCTGGGAACAGCACTCGGCGGAGTTCTCCACTGAGGGGCTGGAGGTCACGCAGAAGACAGACTTTTCAAGAGGCGCATCAAGAGGGGGCCAGCGACATCAGTGCCCAGAGTGGGCTCCAGAGGGCACAGTGCCGGGCCCCAAACTCCAGCCTTATCATCAAATGCATTAGCTCAGCCTCCGGTGTCCTAATACATCAAATAGTCTCAACATGCACCTACGGCATCCGAGGGGCCTGGAAGGAGCTGAGTGAGATACTGCATCTAAATGACCCAGGTGCCCAGGCCACAGGCCTGAAGATTCTTCCTGTCAGTACCAGAGCCACGCACTTCCCTCGTACACAGGGGAGAACGAGAAGGCCCACCACATGGAAGTCCATGAATGGCCCCCAGGGAGCTGCACAGTGCACACCCTGTATGGCTGTACAAGAAGTCCCTGGCCATCAGCTTGGTGAGTGTGCACAGCCTGTGCCTTGCGGCGCAGATGCACTCCATGAAGGAGAGCGAGAAGGCAGGCACACCCACTTCTGAGGTGGGTGCCAAGCCCTGCGGAGCAGGAGAGGGTCTTCCTCAGCATGCACTGAGGCCTGGGGCCAAGGTCAGTGAGTGAGGGGCAGAGACGTCGGCCCGCATGCCGCGGCATCAGGGAGAAATGGCAGATGGGTCAAAGGTGTGGGAGAGCTGAGAGCAAGGCCGGGCTGGGACTCTGGGAGCCTGGAGGTCACAGCATAGTCAGCCAGGCTCGGGTGACCAGGACACTGCTGGTCACAAAAGGAAGGACAATGAGTAATTGCACAGGGGCAGCCAGGACGAGCGCCACCCCATCCTGATCCTGCTGGCAGAGCTGTCACCAGTTAGCAGCATCCCTGGAGTGGTGCTCTCTGTGAGCCGTGGGGCAGCAGGGGCCTTCCAAGCCCAGGCGGCTTGCTGGCTTCACTCCCCTCCCTGCCTGGAGCGCCTGCTTCCACTTCGGGGCCAGCCACCTCCACACCCAGCTCCTCTTTCTGCCCCCACCTTGGGGCAGGCAGAGGAGAAATCGCCCTCAGAAAGGTACCTGTGAACCTGCTTTCAGTGCCTACTGAGCTTTTCTTCTTGTGCGTAAGATTAATCTCGGGTAAACTTCCTAAATACAGGGCCTGGTGCTTGTTCTGTGTTGGGGAGCAGTGTTGGAGGAAGGATTTAAGATGATTCTTCTGTAGGGCACATGCAAAGACCTGGCTTCTTGGTGCACCTGTGCGATCAGGAAGAATTTCCTCGGTGCCTGTGTGGCAAGGCTGTGCCATTCTTTGAGATTAAGAAGGAATCATAAATGGGGCTTGCAGCTTTGTGACTGGCTCATGGGGCCTGGGGAGCCAGCTCAAGGGCCAGTAGCCAGCTCTGATTCCTTTCTGAATGTCCTGCCTGCCCCTCAGAGCACCGTGTGAAGGGGGCAGGAGTAGAGCATGAAATAAAGAGGGAGGGATTCCTGAATGACCTCCTCTCCTTCCCTCTCCCCTCCTCCTCCTGCCCCTCTCTCCTCTTACTCCTGACAAGAGGTTCCTCTCCTGGATGATCCTACAGAACTACTCACTGCAGGTGTCACGGGCGCCCATTCTACAGATGGAGAATTGAGGCTCAGAAATTAAGAGCCCTGCGCCTGGCTAAGGAGAGGTTGGGCTGGGATTTCCACAGGCTGGCTTCACCTAAGTTTTCTGATTCCCAAGAGTAGAGCGGGCTCAAGTGCAGTTTACCCAACACACACCTGCTTTAGGCATCTGGCCCTGCTACCTTCTCCTGGAAGTACAGAAATCCAAAAGAAAAGCAAGGCAAAAAGGCTGAGCAGATAAGGACAAGGTGAAAGCCCTCAGGAAAGAGGACTTGGCCAGTGGACCTAGTCCTTCAGGAGGGAGTGGAGGAGAGGACAGGCTGGGAGCTGGGTCCCAGGGGAGGCGTGTAGGCGGACCCCTCAGGACAGTTCAGGACAGCAGGCAGCACTGATTCGCTTCTCACTTGGACAGAACACACAGATCCCCAGAACCTCAGTTTTGTCACCTGCAGAATGGGATGGACACGATGACGATGCTCCTCATGCCCCCTGCCCAGCGGCAAAGCATGAAATAAGGTGATGCCCAGCACCGGGGCAAGTACAGGCCCAAAACCGCACACCCTCGCTGGCCCCGAAGCCACCCTGGGGCAGGGACTCGGGTCTCTGCACGTCGGACAGCACACACTGTAGGTTGCTCTGGCGTCAGTGGGATGACTTTGCCTTCTACAGTGAAACGTTCTGCTCCGGAAACTGAGACTACCTCCTGCTCACAACTTACCTTCCAAGCCAGACTTTGCTCCAGGGAGTCGAATATTAACTTGGAGTGGGGCTGAGGGCTGTCTAGTTCAGCAACCAGATAGACTGAATCAACTAAGCAGTTTCTTCAGATTCCATCTTTTTTTTTTTTTAAATCCTGAGAAATCCTTCACTAATTAATCTGGGTTTCACATGAGTGGCTGGCTTTTACCTGACAGCCAAAGTGGCAGAAAGGGGAAAAATACAAAGGTGGTCCCCACCTACAATTTGTCCTCCTGTGCCCAGACTAACGTGTAATGACCAAATCTGGACACACCGATTTAAAATACCCCCCAGTTCCCCTTCCCTCTGCGCAAGGGGCCAAATTCTATGCCAAGTCCTCTTTGCGGCCCTGATGCATGTCACCCTCTGGACATACAGCAGACACGGAGGCAGTTCGGTGCCCAGCACCCTGCCCGCCGGCATTCTTGGGAAGGACCTGGCTGTGACACTGCTCTCGGCCTCGCCTCCCAGGGGACCCACGTGACGCGGCTGGGGGTGGAGCCCCACGCCCCGCAGGTGCACCCCGCGGCCTCACTTACTGCTTGCCACTGCTCTGCCCTCCAGGCGTGCAGCGGGCACGGTGGAGCTTGGCAGGCACGCTGCACCTCGGGCCTGGTGACCGGGTCGCACTTGCTCTCGCTGGCGGCTTCCTGCGCTCCAATCTGACAGGCCACCTGCCGCTGCTGTACACCTGGGCCGCAGGACGCAGAGCACTGCAGAGACAGAGTTTGTGAGTAGGTGCTGGGCTCCTTCCGGCCCTCTCGACGTCTCATTTCCAGTGAAGGGACACCAAGGTAAGGTCCAGACCCGGAACGCCCTGCCGCTTCTGCCGCCGAGTGGGGAAGGTAAGCAGACGACTCTCGTGAGCTAACCAGCGTCTCAGAGGGCAAAGAGGTCGGGGGAGACCAGGAGGAAATGTTTGGCACGACCTGCCAATAACGCTGCCACACGAGAAGAAAATTCTAAATCGTCTCTATTCTGGAGAGAGCCACCCTCTTGGAACCTGGGAGACCCGGCACTGGACAGCAGAATTCCTCGGCAGGTAAAGGAACAGCCAAGGAGCAAGGTCAGGAAGGGTGCTGGGGCTTGTGAGTAGACTTGCTCTCCCCGACACTTCCTTTTCTGCTCCTATTTTGGAGACACAGAGTTTTCTTAAACCACAGAATCCACTAAAGTATTTAGGTTTATTTACAACCTCAGAGAAAAAATACAAAGAAGAAAAACTGAGAAGAGAACTATTTCCTTGGGCTTTCGCTGTTCAGCCCTTAAAATACTGTTAGTCATGCCAAAATATTTTGTTGACCAAGTTGTAAAACACCATATTAAGTCCTCAATTAACTTTCCTCTAAATTAATTTTTTAATGGTTTCCTCATTGCTGGGTTTCATAATCTCGTTTGAGGGCAGGCCTAGAATTACTGTCTTTATTAAGGTTTGATGGCGAGAGACTAAAGGCAAGCTTTGATTAGAGAAAAGCACCTACTATGACACTTAGCTATTAAGAATTCTAACCAAATTTTTTGATAACAGAGCTCCATTAATTGGTCTGGTATTAAGAGCGCAAGTTTAGCCTGCATTGAAGCTATATTCCTAAGAGGGCGTCTTCTTAAAGAACAGAATGAAGCTCTCTTATGGGAGAAGGACACTCCTGTCCCAGCTGCAGCAGCAGCGCGCTCCCCTGGGGCTCGTGGAAATTCCCTATCAGAAAGCGCACCCAGGGCACTCTGCTGGGCCGGAAGCTTTTCTCCACTCAGCTTTTAAGGCAACAGGTGATGCTTTTTAGAGGTGGCTTAAGAAATTACATCGCTTCAGATGAACCTATGCCAGGGGGTGCTTCGCAGTTCACATCAAAGCTTAGAGGAAGAGAAGAGAATATTTTGGATCAACATTGCTATATTGTTTGGCTTTAATTATATTAATTGGGTTGAATGAGTCTGTGACCCACAAGAAACCAGACTTCTAAAGAGATTATGTCCTGAGTGGAACGGGAGGGTCCCTGTTCTCCAGCAACTGGCCTGTCTCCAGAGCATGGCTGTTTGGTGGCCGTGAGAGTGTCACGAACAATCTTTCTCCCGGTTGCACTGGAAAGCAGAGTGAGCTGTGGCATGGGAGTTGGCTCACACACGACAGAAACGCCCGGACAGTGTCTGCCGTCCACAGCGCACAAGCGACTACTTGCTATTTGAATTTGGCCTCATAAATATAGAAGTGCATTTCTAGAATAATAACATGCCAAACAGAAATACAAAGAAGGAAAGAACAAGAGCAGTGCAAGCACATGAGAGTTTGGCACAGAGCTGATATATACCCAAAATTTCATAACATCTTGGTGACCTAAAGAAAAATTGGAATAGGGCTGGTGAAATAGCCCAGAGGACTAAGGCAGGTGCAGGGACCCGGGTTCGATACTGGGCACCACTTGCCACGCTGGCCCCTCCCCTGGGCATACTGAGCCGGTGACCGAGGCCTGGCGTGGTGGTGCATGCCTGTGATCCCAGCTCTGGGGAGGCTGAAAACAAGAGGATCACTACGAGTCTGAGCTGCCTAGTGAGACCCTGTACCAAATCCATGGAAAAAAAGAAGGAAAAAATTGGAAAATGTAAATACTTATACTGTGTATAATACTATTTAAGCTATTACGTAGATGAAACCTCTTTGTGACCTTACTGTTAATGAGTAAATTCCTTGTAGTTTGGTGAAGATAAGGGATAAGAGTCAAAAGTGTCTCAATTTTAGAAAATTGCTGCTTATAGCATTCAATAATTTTTGAAGAGGCAAATTAAGACACAGGAAGCTTCAATTACGTAATATGCTGTTCCGGCTTCTGATATTTATAATGTCAAAGCCAGCTTCGAGCCACCACATTCAGGAGTTATGACACAACTTAAAGGCAGAGTGTGGTGCAAGCCTGCTTTCCTGAATAATCCATCTATAGTAACTGCTCAAAATGAGACCATGCCTCTGCAGTTGTTCCTGCTCTGTGGGCACCAGTTCTTCCTGGGCTGTCCCGTGGGAGAGAGGCAGTGAGGCGCACACGGAGCCAGGCAACCTTGCTGGGTACACGCTGAGAGCCCTGTGCTGAACCCATGACCAAAGCAGCACCAGGACCTCCGAGCGGCTCCTGCGGCGGTGGTGGTGTTACGCAGCTGTGTGCAGTTTGTCAGCCTCTGCTGGGTATGCCTTTCGGTCACTGTGTGGGGAAGACATTGTGTGGCCCCGCTAACGTGGCCCTCCTCACCCCTGCATGGTGCATCTACAGGGAGATCTTCCCATTCTGGCCTCCGAGCCCGGCTGCCACCCCTCTCTGCTCATAGCTCGCTGGCTGGCGGGAGGACCTGGTGCTTATTTCCATGGTCAAAGAGAATATCTATGGGATTTCTGACGTCTGGGGAATCGTAATGGACACTTCAGCACCTGGAGGAGAATTTTACACACTTTTTTCTGGTGTTACTATTGAAATTATGAGAGTGAATCCATTTTTATAAGTAACAAGAGAAAACTTTTACTCAGCACTTACACTCAGCCAGGCTCTAGGCCAGGGCTCTTCACCTGTGCAGTCCTTGGTTGGGGACACCATCCCCTACATGGTGGGATGTTCAGCTGTGTCTCTGGCATGTACCCACTAGATGTCACTTTCCTATCCCTTCACCCCAAGTGTGACAGCCTCAGTGTCTCCGACATTGCCCAGTGTCCTGCGGGGTACATAACTGCTGCCGGGTCAAGGCCTAGCTCTGTGCCAGGCTACTATATCCCCTGCTATGTCTTTTCTATCTCATATATGCCTTTTAGGCAGATATGCTGTAAACAAAGAAACAAACAGCCTTCCAGACAATTACCTCAGTGCATGCGAAGACAAGGAGAAGCAATCAAATGAAAACCTGCTTAGGCAGTGAGGCTTGGCGCTGTGGATCAGAATTGAGCTCCCCGTTTTCAAATGTGGTGTTAAGAGGATGGAGGTTTTCAAACTAGACCCACAAGAATGGGGGAAGCCTGAGTCCAGACAGCGCGGCCGATGCTCGGCTTGGAGTCAGCTAGAACCCGGATAAACGAGAGCGCAGCCGCCGCAGTGGCCCTAGTGCTCGGCGCCGCTCCTGCGGACGTGGTGTCCCTGGCTTCTCCGAGGCTCTGCGCGGTGCATTCGCCACCTTTCGCCATTAAACGTCAGATGGAGGCTGCAGCATCAGAGCCCACAACCAAGCTGCTGTCGTTGTCATTACAAGAAAAGTCACAACCAATCTGCCAGCTTCCGTTTCAGTGTTAGCACCGAAGAGCTTTAGAGAAGTAGCCCCCATTCCGCTGACCCTAAGGCACCGCGGATCGCAGGGCACAGACTGTGTGTCAGCCGGAGGGGAGCCTCAGTGTTGAATTAAGCCGTGGCGCTCGCTGAGCGTGAGGCCCTGCTGGCCGCAGAGGGGCTACACTGCGGGGAGCCCGGAGACCCTGCGCCCACGCGGATGGGCCTGCGCGTGCCAGCGCCACCCTTACACTGGTGAGATTCATCTTTTGTTCCTTGAATTACGGATCTTCAGTAATAAAACCAAACCAAACTCCAGCCATCCCTCCTCATAGGAACAGGGTAAGTGTAAAGATGTTATGCTCCCGGAGAGCTTTTTTATTGTGAGAATACAAAGCCCTCACGTTTACCTGGCAGAATCAACAATCTGTTGGTGATTTTTGTCTGAAAATTCCACAGGGACCCTTTACTTCTTGATCAAAATAATCCAAACAAATTGAACACAAACTTCTGAGGGAATAAAAATCATCTTAAGATTTTAGGAAGAATGTTTAAAACAAACAAAACAAAACAACAAAACACACCCTGATTTCCAGTCCAGCTTCCAAGATTTCAGAGGATGTTGAGCCGTAACCTTCCACTATAAATCTCAAAGCACGCCACCTTAGAGCTGTTGCAGTTTGCCTCCTGTCCCACATTCTAGATTTCTAACTGTCACTGGGCATTTTGACATTGTAAGAAAACACACTCACAGTCGCTCTTTTCATGAAGACAGGATGGCTAGAATATAGCTACTGGTGAAAGGCAGGACGCCTAGAGGTAGACATGCTTCTGCAGGCTTGCGGCCCTTGCTCGGGCTCGCTGCCCTGCCTGTGGCAGCTCCTACCTCTCACTGGCCCATTAGTGAGGCAACAATCTTTAATCATGCACGCTGCTTCCTTAATCAGGCATGCTTCTACATTACGGGAATCATGTTTTACCCATACAGTACCTTGTCTTGCCTGTTTCTGTAATTCATTCCTATAAGTCAAATCAGGACATTAGAAAGCTGGTCATGCGCTATTACATAGCGCCTCGAATCTTCTCCGAAGGTGGTGCCTTTTCCTGGGCAATCATTTTGAACAGGTATGGTTCTTTCTGGGGTGGTATTCTGATAATCCTATTACCTTCTGTTTGCAAAAGCTCCCAGGGTTTAAACCTACTCATCCCAGTTTTTTAAGTAATTTTAGGGTTCTCCACAAGATCATAGGATGCTGGAGTTAAAACTCTCTGTGTTTACCAGGAAAGAGCAAAAGATTTTTTAATTGTCGCCTTAGTGACTAAGCTGACCCAGAATGAGCATCACAGCACGCTGAGGATAACATCCAGGGCAAATGCAGAGGTAAGTGGAAACCCAGGAACACTGCATTCAGTAACAGGACTGCAGTCTGCTGGAGGACAAGCTAACTTGGGAGGTGAGCTGAGTAATGGCGGCTGCAGGCTTCTGCACGAGCTGATGAGCTCACGACTGCGCTCAGCCAGAGCCATTAGGAAGGACAGGTGCTGTGACTCACTGCCTTGCGTGTGCCCAAGGTGGCCCAGAGGGAGGTGCCTTGGGTGGACACAGTCCTTAATGGCTATAGCAGAATGAAGCCCAACCTCACGCCACTGATAAGGGTCTCAGGAGGGAGGAGCCACGACTCACACTCCTGGAGGGGGACAAGGCTGAAGACCGTGGTGTCGGTTCGTGACATTTCAGGAAGGTTCAGGCTGGGGACAAAGTTTTTGTTAACTGTGTCGGAATGGAGTTTCCCCAAACCTTCCTTGAGCTAACAGGGCCATATCCAAACCCTTATGAATGGAGATCCAGACTCTGAAAGAACGTGCTCTAGAGCAGCCCACCTTGGGCCTGGCTTTCTGTGATCCTCAGGATTCGGTGGCATAACTGTCCACGACTGGGAGAACAGAAATACAGAAAGCCTCGCTGACTTGGACAAGGACCTGAACCACCAACCAGCACTACAACACTCGGCATTTCAGAAAGAACTGAGCCTTGGTACTCCCAGGCTTGCTCCTCTGACCACGGAGAGGAAACGTCCCGGTGTGCAGTAGCAGGGCCCGGCGAGAGCTGCTCCTAACCAAGCAGGCTGCACTCATGCCTTGCGTGTCTCTGAACAGAAGCTTCCAGGCTTCCTCTCTCAAGTTCAACATGGAGAGCCTGACACATCTTCTTTCTGGCTTGCCAAGCGTTTAGAATTAGTGGAACCTAACTGTGGTCAGTGTAGGGCCCTCTCTGTTCCCCGTGGGAGCCACTCGCCACACTTATCCAAACAAAATAGCCTCTTCCTTCCACTCAGGGGCCCCAGGCGAAGCACTTGGCACTCATTGCGACATTAAATCCTCATGGGAACTGTGTGCGTGGGCAGGGAGGTGCCTCAGGCCACGTCAGGTCGCGTGGCTCTGAGGGTGCTCCTCCTTCCCTCCCTTGCCCATCTCTGCTATAAACAAGCAAACGGGCAGAGAAGTATTTCTGATACTTTTGCTTCAAGGAGCTCCAAGGAAAATTCCTACTCAGTTCCTGCCAGGGGACTCCCTTCCGACACAGTTCACAAAATCCTCGTCCCCGGCCTGAACCTGTCAGCTTCAGGGTGACCTCGGTGTTGCCAGCAGTCCACGATCATGCTAGGCAGGCATCAGCCACGTTCTGAAGCACTGCCCTGCAGCAGACGCCGCATGCCTATTACCACATAGCCGCCTCGCTGGGGGTGTTATGTGCAGCCCCAGGGCTGCAGCTACCCGTTGGAGGTCACACAGCTGTCCTGCCTGTCTAGCTGGGCATTCTTCCCTCCCAGTCTGCAGCAATCCTGGGTAAAGCCAAAACCATGCAGAGAACACAAGCAGACACACTGGCACCACCACGAGGCCCGAGGGAAGGACGGGGCGGGGAGAAGCGTCGCTCACCTGACTCCACGCGCCAGCCTTCCAGCGGGGGCACCGGCCTCCTCGGCACCTCCGGAGCCCGTGTGGCTTAGCACGGTGCTTACAGTGATCACTGTCTAAATGGCTTCCATCCTTTGCCATGCAGTAAACACTTCGCTGCTTATGCCCTCGACCACAAGAGGCAGAGCACTGCAATATAAAGCAATGGCAAGGTTGTTGTTGGCTTTCGATCACATGGAGCTGGATAAAAACCTGTGCTGAGACATTAAGATCGCGTCTCCTGCGACTCAACATTCCCTCTTTCTCCAGGCTAGTTTGGATAATATCTCAAAGTCTGACGGGGCAGGGAGGGGGCATTGGAGAACGTGTCCAGCAGCAATCCTGTATGATGTCCCTCAAGAGTACAGATGAACCCTGATAACGGCCAAATACAGCGCATGAGCCTGAAATTACTGACTGAAAGAAGCCCAACTAGCAAATAGTAAGATAACTCTTCAACAAAATGCCTTGTGATTCGCTGATTAGTATAAAGCTGCATTTCCAAAATGCAGCTCTGTGCAACTTTTTTAACCGTGTTATTTAAGAAAACTCTTCATGCATTTTCCGGGGAGAAAGCTCTTATTTTCCCGGTCCATCTGGAAAGAGATTAGAAACGGACAGGTAGCTAGCAGGTAGGCCTGCCAACTTCAGGCGGAGGGCACTCCCTTTCAGCTCTGATCTTCGGGCCTGCTGGACTGTTCTAAATGTGACCTTGTCTGACCGCATCTAAGACATTTGACTTTGATTTCAGATTAGGTTTCTCAGGAAGGTTTAGAAATCAAAGTGCCTGTGGAGTCTGGAGAAAAATTTGATATGACAGCTTCGTGTAGAACAGGCAGAGGCTGGCCCCAAAGAGTGCGTGCTCCTGCCCGCCTCATTAGTGATTCCAGGGGGCACTACCGCTGGAGGCTCAGCTGCCGGCGCGGCTGGGAGACGCATTATTTCCCAGTGTAATGGACTTGGCTTTGAGAGAGAAATGAAGTTAAGAATGAAGAACAAAGTGGGAAAATGCAATGAAAACAGATTTCGAGAGTCATTTCCCTCTCTTCAGTGTTCTTTCCCCCACTAACTGTGTGATCTTGCTAGTTTAGAATACCAGAGTGCCCTTGGATGCCTAACAGAGCCAGGGCGTCACGTGAAACAAGGAGCATGGTGCTAATTCAGCCACGATTACCACGCATGCTCAACATTCAGAAACGTGCCAGACACTTTTCTGGAGAACACAAACCAATATAAAAATGCCAACAGTAGCTGGTAGAGAAATCTAAAGTAAGAATAGTAACACATTTGACTTTACTTTTACTTTAGAAGGGGAGACCTTCACTGGGGCGCTTATCTGATAGAGAGCATGGTGTGGGGTAACTATTCTGGAGTGCTTGCTAGTATGCACCATGATGGAGGAGCCCAGCTTGAGTATCCACTTCAAGCAGAACTCTCATGACTCGGTTTGTGCTGTTCTGATGCACGTACACACTTTGTGGGCAGCTAGCTCAGCAGCAAAAGCGCCTGCTGGCAAGTGCAATGTCCTGAGTTCGATCCCCAGCGCCCCCCAAAAACAATCCCCAAAACCTTTGGGTTATACTTTTCCCAGGCTTTCAGAACAAAGTTCTTAAAAATATCCCTACAAATTTCTAAGAGAGGTCTTAGAAAAGATAATTCTTATTTGTGACCAATTTTAGTATTAAAAATGTTACTTCAACAAGAAAGTAATGTAAGGACACAATTTGAAATTAAGGTGACTTCACCTGTCTTTTAAGAATCATTTATTAAATACCTACCATGCTCTTGGAATTATGCAAAATACCGAGGACACGGTGATAACAAAATGACAGTCCCTGTGCTCACAGACCTGCAGTGGATATGGGCCTCAGGGGATGCAAAGCAGCCCTCGCCATGGCTGCCCCTGAGATGAGTGCGGCGAGCACACAGGTGCGTCCTCAGGCCCGGCTGCCCCCGCTCGCGGGCCACAGCAGGGACTTGGGACTTGGTGTGCACAGGGTGGGAAATACCGAACAGCTTCATTTGTGGTGAGACATGGTGTGACTTGTGTTCCAGAGCCTCCGCCTGACGCTGAGCAGCCACGAACATGCGTGCAGTGCGAGCCCGCTCGAAGCCTCCTGGGAGCTGCTGTGTGCGCAGGCAGGAGGCCGTGGCAGCTCAGACCTGGCTGCAGTTCTGAGGTGGGGAAGCTGGTAAACTGAAAGTGAATGTTTTTGAAGTAGAGATGATACAGCTGATAGGCCAACTAGGGGTTCTAGGGCAAAGGGCACAATCGAGGAGGGCTCCCAGGTTTCTAGTCTGGGCAGCTGGAGAGACGGGTAACCTGCCCGCCACCACGTTAAGAGACAGGGATCCTGGGGAAACAGCACCGGAGGTGAAAAGTACGCTTGCAGCAAATGGGGTGAACACGAAGAAGACAGAATCACGGCGGGCGGTTTTTGCTTGATTAGAGAGCAGGAGCACAGTTGTCTTACAGTAATCAAATGAACAGGCTGACCTAGAAGCAGGGTATCCTGGGGATGGCCATTTCCAGACACAGACAATTCAAACAAGCTGTCCCTCGATGTGAAGGGGCAAAAGGGAGCTGATGGAAGGCTGATTTAGTGACTAGACGTGGGCACCAGCAGACACAGTTTAAAAGAAGGCGACCATCTACGGAGGCAGAACTAGAAAGAGCTACCCCCCGCTTTGGGGTCCTGGCCATATTCCAAGCCTTTCTGTGCATTATCTCATTTAACCATACCAATGAGTCTCCAAAGATTCACAGGGACCTGGGTACTGTGAGTGGGGCCGGGCGCAGTCACAACGGCAAAGCACAGCGCTTCAGATAGTGCCTCCCATTGCTGCAGCGGGAGGTGACCTTCCATCGGGAGCAGCAGCAGCACGTGCAAAGCAGTTGGTTGTACGCAGCCTCCCTGGCTGTCCTCTCCAGCCGGCAGCTACTGGAATGAGCTCGAGACTGACGGAGCACTTTCTAAGCAGGAGGTCTGTCTGGGGACAAGGGGTGCGTGATTCACACCATACACACTCTTCTCATGTCTTTTTTGGCATCAGGAATCGAACTCAAGACCTTGTGCTTGTCATGCAGGTGCTGTGCCACTGAGCTATATCCCTGGCACATATTCTTTTCTTCAAATTATTAAGATCTAAAAATGATTAGGGAATTATTAGGGAATTCTCAAGGTAAACTAATCTGACAGTCTTCATTTAATGCTTCCTAAATTATCAATGAGGAGAAGCTGCTGTTCATGGAAATGTTCAGACCTCAGAGGTTTATTAATGGGCCTATTATGCCTTCATGAAGGAGCTGTCATTTTGACAATCAAATAAATGCAGGTTTCAGCTCTTTCTGGGGAAATTTCCATCGCTTCATTTCCAGGCTTTTCCCAGGCCAGAGGTGAATTTTACCTCACCCTGCCTGCATCCTGAAGACATACCAGTTATATTTAGTGTGTTACCGAACACACTGATTGGCCACATATCTGAGTTCTTGCTTTGGGGAACATTTAATTCCTTAAATTTACAGCTAAACTAGCATCCCAGTTTGCCCACAGGACTCTGACATTCCCTGTTGGGCAACAACTCAACTTATTTAAGAGACTGATTTTCCCCCCATCTTTGAGCAAAACTCCCAAACAATGCAATCTCTGCTGACTTTGTGCCCACGGTCAGCCTCCCGAATGCCTGGACTTTCAAGCCCTTGCTTCTGCGAGGCCCACTGGAGGGGAAGGTGGAATGTGGCGCCGGGAGCAGACACACTGCTGAAACTTTCCATGAAGCTCCAGAGTCCAAAGTCCTAGCACTGCAGCTCTCTGGTGGAATGACTCTCAGGACGTGGGCAGCAGGTCCTTGTCCTCTCTTGTGGACTTGGGCTCTATTGAAAAGCAACCCTGGATGGGACACAGATGGACCTGGGTCTGCTGCGCTGCCCTGCATGGACTGCAGGGCTCCCTGCTGTGGCCTTCACCTTCATGGAAGGGCACGGTTTTGTAGTTAGCAAGGAGCCCGTGGGCGACCCTGAGGTGTCTACCTGGATGACAGGGCTGGAGACCCAAGGAGAATGAGATGCTCAGGGTCGAGAGGTTCAGGACACCCCACGGGAGGAGTCTGCAGAGTTGGTAAGTTCACCAGAAGGAGCTCAGGAGGAGGGAGAAGACTAGAACCTGGCTAGGAAGGGTCCCAGTGGGGCTGAAGGCTGAGCTCAGAGGAAGCCCTGGGGGGCGGGGTGGGCAGGACCTCTGAGCAGCATCAGCAGGGGCCTGAGGCACGGGTGACCGGGGGTGGTGATCCCTTGCACTTATTTCCAGAGTCAGGACCGGCTCACAAGAGGCGAGGAGTAACAAGACTGGGAGACCAAGACACGCCCTGGAATGCGCTACCACATTAAGTCAAGGCTCTTTCTAGAGATTTTTGCTAGTCAGGTGCTAACCAGCACTTGGGGTGGGTGGGTAGAGTTCTACTTGGTGACAGGAGATGGCATTAATTACTTTCAAGGCCTTTCCTGTGTGATTCCACATAATTTGAAACAACATTTAAATTGCTTCATTTAAATTATCTTTTTGTACACAGGAAGTCTTCAGAGCCTCTTATTCTGACTTCATTTAACTTCCCCTGGAAAGTAAGCTGTCAGAGATGACACAGGGCTTCCTCCAAGGTCAAGACTGCTTTGCTCGTCACAGTGACAAGTGAGACACCCCTGAGTGTCGCCCCACTGCAAAGACACCAGCCCGGGGCCCTGATACATCAAGGGAAGAATGTAAGTAAAAAGTGTGGACTTAGGAGTCCAAGTTTCAAACGCTGCTCCATGGAAAAGCACATGGGCGCATTACAGTGGAACACATTATCTGTCCCCTGCTTGCTTTCCAAAAGCTACACACGTGAACAAACACACGAAAGTCCCAGCCAGCCCCCACGGAGCTGCACCGTAAGGCTGGGATGTCTTCATCAAGAACCACCTAGGACGTGACTCGGCACTGAAGCTGAGCTGACTTGACACAGCTTGCTTAGACCTGAGAAGCCACCCCAGGATACCCTTTCAGGCTGAACAGACCTACTGGAAACCACTGGGGCCCTGAGCAGGACTCGGCTGAAGCCTAAGCATGCTGGCTCTTGCCACTTAATCCCTAGCAAAAGCGACCGTGGCTCAGGTG